TCAACATCAACATCATCATCATCATCAACATCATCGTCATCAACCCACCGCTTCTCCTCTCCGTCCTCGCCCCACCTCTTCCCCCTGCAGCCCCCAACCTCACCTTCCGGGGAGAAGGCTGAGCGAGCGAGCAACAGGGGGGCGGACGGGAGAAGAGGCTCGTGGAATAAGCGGGGTGGGTGGGGAAGAGGCAGGAGCAGAAGCAGAGGTGCAAGAGGACGAGAAAATCCACGAAACTGCTACAGTGTGTGATGTTTTTTTGTTCCCCGTCGAAACTGTATGGTTTTCAAGGGTCGGGCCCTGGGAGGCGATACTCGTTCGACACTCTTTTGGTATTTTCTGGGTGCTCGAAATTAGTTCTGGTGATCAAGGCTAAAGGAAGTTGGGACATCATAGCGCTACAGCTACTCCTGGGACCTCTTTCCGGGTGCGCTCTGACTAGAATAAGGTCGGGCGTGTCCCCCCTACAGGCGAAGTTTGGGCGACAAAATTCAGATACTCAAGACATACGCTAAATAGCAAAAACAGAGTCAGAAAATAATCTCCCAATTATTTGTTTACTATTTTGGAAGATGCCTCCCGTAGAGGGACAGGCCCGACTGAAGACCAGAATCTCGAGGCCTATCCAACGGTGGGGCGACGAGGGCCTCCCGGGAGGGCGAACAAGAGGGGAACACGGGCGAGTGAGGACAGGGGGACGACGGGCGAAGGGCAGCGGCAGGGGCACCTCTTCCTCCTTCGGCGGTGGACAAACCTCCCTTTAGCAAACCTGCCCTTAGTGAAAACGGCCTGGGACCGAAACCGACGGACTTGGACCTGCAAAAATGACGGCCGCGACGCCCTCTCGCGAACCGAAAACGGCCAATTCACTAATCAACGTGTCAGGGTAGGAGGTCTGTCCACCCCCGACTCCTCCGAGAGGCCGAAGAAAATCGGGGGCTCCCAAACGGGGTGGTGACAACACCGTGCGGTGAGTCGGTGGGGATTCGGGGTCACCGCACGGTTTCGGGACTCGGGTCGTTCTCCGAGGACGTCTCGGGCGACAAGGGCCTCCGGGGTCCCAAGACCGTGCGGTGACGGACCGTCCGGTGAGGTCTTGGGGGATTTCAAGGTCACCGCACGGTCTGTCACCGCACCGTTTCGGAACTCCAAGGAAAGGGGGGGCGAAGGGAGGAGGGGACCGGGAGGAGAGGGAGGAGGCGGAGCTCCTAGCTGGTTCATCCAGATGTTGGCCGAGGACGCTCCGACGAGCATCGTCCAGGTGCCCTGCGCGGTCGGAGCAAGGCCGACGTGCGCCGCGGGGGAGTCACGAGAATCGGGGGCGTCCAAGAGGGGGGCGTCCAGGAGGGGGGGGCGCAAATCATGGCCGGCGGCATGTGCGCGGGCCATGGGGGGGGGGGTGTCGGGGACGCAATGAAGTAAGAAGAGGCGCCATGAAGTCTGGGGAGGTATCATGGCCCCCGCAATGATATCCACCCCACCTAGTCATCCCCCCCCTCTTGTCACTGCACTGACCTTGCAGACTTGCTGCAGCGGATTTTGGCGTGGATTTCTGCCAATGGACAACCCCTAAATGGCGAGTGAAAAACAAACTGATTTTCGCTTGGATATTTGCTTCGTCTTCATTCCTGGCCCCCAAAAAGAACCCGCGCGAACTTCACCTCGAACTCCGGAACGAAATTCTCCAGGGCACTCCGGGCCAATCCCATCGTTTTCCGAACGGAATCCGCTCTGCGATGTCTGGCCATCGCTCGGACGTCCATTCCCTGTGCTTTTTTCAGTTTCGTGCGTGGTTTTTGCCAGATGATCAAGGATGCTCCTCGATGGTCCTCGCCGAACGAAGAAAAAACACACACACACACACACACACACACACACGTCCGAGCGATGCCAGGATGGTGGCGCCGCGACTCTTGACCGCCCCCGAGGGGGGGCCCCCCTCTCTCTCTCTGTGCGCCGCTCCTCGTCCGGGGCCGCCGTCGTCGCCCTCTGGCTTGGGCTTTTAGCGCTTGCGTGGTCAGGCAGATCGGATGGAGGCCAGCTAGAAGAAGAAGACACAACGCCATGAACATGAACGTTTTTGGGCGCCCGAAATGGGCACGGAAAACAGGGGCACAATGCCCAACAGCAAGTGTGTTGTCCCAAGCCAGCAGCGGCCGCTGTTGGGTGGGCGGCCTTCTGTCTCGAATGGACACGGGCCGCGGCGGCGCGGACAGCGAGTCCTGTTCAAAATGGACAGGAACTGTTGTTGAGCATTGTACCTTGCCGTGCCCATTTCGTTCGTGCCGAACGTTTGGCGCTCCGCGCGGATTTCTGGGATCCGCGCTGGGCCCCCTGGAGGCGCCTCCGGCGCCGCGCCTGGCGCTCTCCGCGCGCCAGGGAGGGGGGGTCCAGCGCAGATCCAAGAAACCCGCACGGAGCGCCAGAAATTGTTGTTTGTTACGTTTTTTCCAAATCCGACTAGCGACCCTTGCCTCGGCGGTGGGCCGGGGGGGGGGGGGGAACGTGGGAAGGGGCGGGCCTTCTCAGAGAAGGCGCGGGAGTCCCCCGGCCTGCCGAGCAGTTTTCGGAGCCTTGCTTCCCGAAGGCGCAGGACACTCCTCAGAGGCGCGAGGGCTTCCGAGGCGCCCGCCGCCTGCTGAGAAGACCTTTTCCTTCTCACTCCCCCCCCGCTCGCCACTGACAATTGCCTCGACGGGTGCCGCGCGCGGGCCTCGGCGAGCATCATCGGGTCGATCGAGTATGCAGGTGCCCTGTCCTGCTCCACGACGTCCCCTCCTGCTTCCTGCTTCTTCCTTCCGCGCGCGTCTCCTGCCCCTCGTCGTGTCCGGCTTCCTCCCTCTCGCCGTGCATGACTCGATGGCGTGAACTGCCACGGGGCACATCTGATGATGCTGGCGTGGACCCCAAACAGCAACGCTGCACTGTCCATGCGTGGGGTTCTATCTGGGACCTTCTCCTGTGGGACCCTCTCGTGAAAGTCTGGGTCTTGCAGAGCCCCATCGTGCCGAACCCTGACGCATGTGGTTCCACAGCATGGGACCCAATCGTGAAGGACCTTCTCATGCGGAACGCTTGCGGGACGCTCTCGCAGGGAACCACGCCGTGGTGGACCCTATCGTGTGGGCCCCAGGCCCCAGTCGCGTGGGACTCTGTGGCTGTGGTGTGGGACCGTATCGTGTGCCAAACTATCCTGCCGGGCCAAATCAGACCCTGTCGTGTCAGGCCCGATCATGCCTCATCATGAACGTCCTCGCCATGTGCATCCGTCTCGTTAACAAAATAGATAAAGCACACTTCCGATAAAGACGGTGATGCAGTCCAAATGTTCTTAGCAAGACGTCCGTACCCTCTCCCAACATCCGACTCAAGCGCCTGCTACTGCACTATTCAAGGTACCCGCTCTCTCGGAAGGTTGGTCTGACGCATCAGGGCAAGGGTGTCTCTTAAGAGGTGTAAGAGAGGAATCGAAGATGCACTCACACTTCACCACCAGGCACGAAAGATGATGAACGCCTTCAGGCAATCCATGGCGTTCTCTCGCGGCCACAGTCCATGGCGGCATGTGGAGTCGCCCGTCTTGACGAGGAAGTCCCAGCCTGGGGCAGCTGTGAGGAAACGGGAGCGGGTCCGCATACAAGGGGATAATGAAAGAGTAAGATACATAACGAGATGAACATTACGAGAGGGAACGAATACTGAAGCACGAAACAATTCCTGGCGATGGGCACCATGCAATGTGCTGCAAATGTGGCGCCAGGGCGTCGCAATTGGTGACTAATTTGTGCGGCCTGCTCATTTGTGTGGTCGTGCGTTGTCCGTGCCGAAATATTGTGCTTTAGGTCGATTCTCGCAATATCCGAAAATATTTTCTCCACGCACGTAACTATCAGATCTCATCCCAACTTGCACCGGCCATAGATCATGAACCCCCCTACGAGGTGAAAACAACCAGGGCGGGGAATACAGCAAGGAAGAATATAGACGCGGCTGGCGGGGATGAGCCGACTTGGAGGACACTCTCACCTCTGGCCATGCGCTCCGACGCTCACTATTCTTAATTCCGCGGTCGTCTTTGCGAAGCCGCCGGAGCTGGCGCTGAACATTGTGCAGGCTTCAAAATCCACATGGACAAGAAAGGTGCGACAGTGGCACAACCCATCCTCAACCGTTCTGCACACCCTTCATGGTCCCAAGGTCGTACTTCCATATCCTCCAAGTCCTCAAGTGCCGCCTCATTCGTTCCCTTCCTGTGTCATCAACCTCTGCTTCCCGCGCGCAGGTTCTTCTTGCCTTCGACGTGTCATTGCAACTTGGAGACCAAGATGATGGCACCAAAGCCCAAAATCATGACCATCGAAGAGGGCTGACTCATGACCATGCCGTTCGCCATGCTTGGCGCCTCAGATGGCCCAAGTGCGACCACAACCATGGAGATATTGGATCATCTTCCCTCGGCGTAGGAGGCAGCAGGTATCGGTGTTGGTGCTAGATTTAGGTCGGGCGTGTCCTCCTACAGACGGAATTTAGACGACAATCGCAAATTTAGGGCAAAAATGCTCAGAGATAGTCAAACAATGATCGGAAAATCGTCCCCAGACTATTTTTCCACTATCTTTGAATTTTCCTCCTGTAGAGGGACATGCCCGACTAAATGCTAGATTGTGGGCCTTCGGCTGTTGCAGTGCGATGTCTTCAAACACAAGAGCGGCACAGCAGACGGCTCGTCCTGTCTGGCCCGTGCCGTTCGTCTGCCCCCCGAGTCCGTCAGCAGCATCCTGCGGCAGGGCGGCGCACACTGACAGGCCAGCCCAGGGCGACAACCACCCGCGCGACCGAGGCGGCAACCTACAACGCCTCCCTCCACACACTCCCCTTCACACTCCCCTTCACACTCTCCCCTCCACGCCGCAACTCGACCCCCCTCCCTTTCACACTGCCTCCAGCCCCCTTCCTGAGGAATCCTCCAGCCCAACGGCCCCCGAAGACGTGCCAGAATCTTCAGGTCGCGAGGCTACCGATGCCCATCGGCCGGAAGAAGCAGGCAGACACATTCAATAGGACGGCGCTGAACGTAGATCGGGTTCCCTGCGCCCCTCTGGGAGGGCGGAGAAGGTTGAGCCACTCGATCATTGAAGTAGGAGGGCGCCTGAACGTGAGTGGAGCTCCAGGGATCCAAACTGCCTACTTTCAACGACCGGGTGGTAGCTGTGTATGTTCCGGCTCGCGCGCGCGCGCGCGTGGCAGCCCCAGAGGGGCCCCCAAGGGAGCCTTTGCCCGGGGCGATACCCCCCGCCCGTGGCCACCCCGAGAGGCTGGAACTCGGGGGGCGCGGCCTCCGGGACCCTTCTGGGCGGCGAGCCTAGGAAGGCAAGTTAGGATGCAACTATAGGGGAGGCAACTACTGGGAGGCAAGTTAGGAAATGGAAATGAAAAGTTAGGAGGCAACTGCTGGGAAGTTGTCGTCGGAAAGATTGAGGAAGACTAAGCAGAATGAAGCGGGACTGAGCGGGATTAAGCCGGATCAGGCCGGATCAAGCGGGATTAAGCTGCTGAGTTTCATACACGGCCCGAACGCCGCGTGCCCCAGCGCCCCCCCCCCCGTGGAGTTGATAAAACCGTGTGTGCGTACCACCTCGTTTTGCCGCGTTGCATCGCCATCACCAGCATCATCATCATCCTTGTAATCAATTTGTAATCCGCCACAAAAGAAATCCATTTCAAATCCGCCACTAAAGGAATCAATTTGAAACCCGCCACAAACACAATTGATTTGTAATTCGCCACAAAAGGGATCTATTTGTAATCCGACACAAAAGGAATCACTGTATATTTTGCCACAAAAGGAATCAATTCGTAATCCGCCACAAAAGAAAACCTTCTGTAGGGAGGGGGTGTAAATGGTGGGTCAATCGCTACTAGGATTCTATGAGAGGTGGATCCATCTCTCATCGGATTCTATTAGAGGTGGAAATATCTGAAATGGGATGGTCTTAGAGGTGGATCCATCGCTAATAGGACCCACTAGAGGTGGATCCATCTCATATAGGATTCAATTACAGGTGAATCCATGTCTAATCGGATCCCATTATAGGTGGACCCATCTCTAATAATATTCAAGTAGAGGTGGGTCCATATGTAATAGGATTTTGTTAGAGGTGAATCCATGTGTAGCAGGATTCCAGTAAAAGGTGGACCCATCTCTGTTAGGATTCCATTTGGAGCGGATCGATCTGTAATAGACTGTCAGTTGAGATGGGCCCATCTCTCATAGGATTCCATCAATTGTGGATCCAGCTGTAGTCGGATTTCATTAGAGATGGATCCATCTGTACCAGGATTCTAGTAGATGTGGATCCATCTGTAATAGGATTCCATCAGAGGTGGACCCATCTGTATCAGGATTCTGGTAGGATTGAATTGGGGGTGGACCCGTTTGTATTACGATCCTATGAGAGGTAGATCCATATGTAATAAGATTCTATTAGAGGTGGATTCATGTCATGTAGGACCCCATCAGAGGTAGGTGGACCCATCCCTAATAGGATTCTCTCAGAGGTGGACCCATCTGTAATAGGATTATACTAGAGGTGGGTCCATCTGTCATAGGGTTCTGTTAGAGATGGACCCATCCGCACTAGGATTCCCTTAGATCCATCTCTAATCAGATACTACTAGAGGTGGGTCCATCCTTAATAGGATCCCATTCGAGGTGGATCCATTTTTCACCGGATTCTGTTAGAGGTGGACCAATATCTAATAGCATGCCATTGGGGATGGAACCACCTTATTAGGATTATATTAGAGGTGGCTCCATATGTAATTGGAGTCCATGAGAGGTGTATCCATGTCTAATTTGGTTTTATCAGAGGTGGATCCATCGTTAATAGAATTATATCCGAGGTGGACGCATATGTAATGGGGTTCTATCATACGTGGGTTCATTTGTAAACGGATTATATTAGAGGTGGGTCCCTCCGTACCAGGATTCTATTCGAGGTGGATCCATCTCTGATGTGATGCCATTAGTTGTGGACCCATCTCTAATGGGATTCTATTAGAGGCGGATCCATATGTCATAAGATTATATTTAAGGTGGTTCCATCTGTAGTGGGATCTTATCAGGGGTGGATCCATTCCTAATCGGATTCTATGGAAGGTGGATCCATATGTAATAGGATCCTCTCGGAAGTGGATCCATCTGTAGTACGATTATATGAGAGGTGGGTGTCTTTTGTGATGACGATGATGATGATGACGAGCATGTGTTTCAAGATGCTGCTGACGATGATGATGATGACGAGCATGTGTTTCAAGATGTTGCTGATGATGATGGTGATGACGAGCATGTGTTTCAATGCGCTGCTGATGACGATGGTGCTGACCAGCATGTGTTTCAAGATGCTGCTGATGACGATGGTGCTGACCAGCATGTGTTTCAAGATGCTGCTGATGACGATGGTGCTGACCAGCATGTGTTTCAAGATGCTGATGATGACGATGATGATGATGATGACGATTATGTGTCTCAAGATGCTGCCCATGACGATGGTAACGACGAGCATGTGTTTCAAGATGTTGCTGATGACGATCATGATGATGAGTATGTGTTTCAAGATTCTGCTGATGACGATGGTGATGACGAGCATGCGTTTCAAGATGTTGCTGATGATGATGGTGATGACGAGATGCGTTGGGAGCAACGCGTTGTCATAATGAGTTCCACAGAGCATAATCGAGTGGGGAGCACAGCCCACCAGACTAAAGTTATCCTCTTATTACCCTTCTTCCTCCTCCTCCTCCGCCTCCACCGCCGTCTCTTCCTCCTCACCCCTCTTACTTCCAGTGGGTGAGCGCCGAAGCGCGTTCCAGAGATATTAATAAGCCTTAATATCTCGATTCTCCGGCCTCCGGAGGCCCGAAACAAACAATATTAGCGGATTACAAATTGATTTCTTTTGTTGTTGAATTACAAAAGGGAATCCTTTGGTTGTGAACTACACATTGTTTTATTTTGTGGCAGATTACAAAAGGATTCCTTTTGTGGAGAATTGCAAAAGGACTTCTTTTGTGGAGGATCACATGATGATTCTTTTTTGTGGCGGATTACAAAAGGATTCCTTTTGTGGAGGATTACAAAAGGATTCCTTTTGTGGAGGATTACAAAGGATTCCCCTTGAAGGAGGAATACAATGGGATTCCTTTTGTGGAGGATTACAACTTGATTTCCTTTGAGGGCTCTCCTGGAAGTGAAAAAAGGGGACAAAATAAAAAAACAAAAAAAAAAAAATCCGGAAACCATTGAAAATTGGAAAAATTGCAGGTGTTCAATGAATTTCCAATGTTTTGAAGCAAAAACATATAAAAACACAGCATGTCCAAGGTCTTGAAGCCCAAACCATATGAAAACAAAGCATTTTTGTATTCGGATTGTGAAAATGCTGTGTTTTTATATGGTTTTGCTTCAAAACGTTGGAAAAATCGCTGAAAACCTGCAATTTTCATAATTTTCAATGATTTTCTGATTTTTTTTTGTTTTTTTCTTTTGTCCCCTGGTTCACTTCCAGGAGAGCCCTCAAAGGAAATCGATTTGTAATCCTCCACAAAAGGAATCCCCTTGTATTCCTCCATCAAGGGGAATCCCTTTGTAATCCTCCACAAAAGGAATCCTTTTGCAATCCTCCACAAAAGGAATCCTTTTGTAATCCGCCACAAAAGGAAACAATTTGCAATTCACCATGAACAGAATTCCTTTTTAATTCCCCACAAAAGAACTCAATTTAAAATCTGCTACAACAGGAATCGTTCTGCATTCCACTACTTTGAGCAATCCCTTTAAAAGATGACGAAAAGCATAATCAACAGGAAAGCAAGCAAATGATAAGTAATAGACCAAACACCGAGGTGGTACACACACGGTTTTATTAACCTTACCCCCCCCCCCCTTGAGCTTGCGGAGCTGCCCCGCGGCGACGAAGGGCGCAGAGCTGGCGTCGCTTTCCGCGACCATGTATGCGCCTCCACTTGCTTGCGATTGTCGTTTCCACTGGGGGCAAGGCACCACCTCACCTCCTCCTCCCCTCCTCCTCCCCCTCCTCCCTCCTCCTCCCCCTCCTCCTCCTCCTCTCCTCCTCCTCCTCCTCCTCCTCTCCTCCTCCTCCTCCTCCTCACGCACACGCACACGCTTACGCACGCGCACGCACGCCCCCCCGACTCTTCCCCCCCCCCCGCCCCCTTCGCGCCGAGTTGCGCCGCCCGTTGCGCGTTCGTGGCGGTGCGCGCCACCTTTCGGTTGGGCGCGAAGGCATGGGCCCATGCTGGTGCTCTGGAGAGAACGCCTGCAACAGTTGCGTGTTTTGCATCGCGCCATATCTCGGGGCGGCACGTGCCGCATGGTGCGCGCTTCCTGGTCGTGGGTGTGCCACGCCATGTCGGCGCCCATGCAACGACGTCTTCAACCTCGTTTCTATCACGTGGCATTCGGGGCGGCACGCGCCGCGTGTTGCTTGGCCGCGGATGTGCGGCGCCATGTCGGCGCCCACGATCGAAATGTCACGTGTTGCGTGCCTTGTGCGGTTTTCGGGCGGCAGGTCTTCACGTGTGTGCGCGCGTGTCTGTGTGTGTGTGGGTGTGTGTGCGCGTGCGGTGGTGGTGTTGGTGGTGGTGTGGTTGGGGTGGGCTGGGGTGGGGGGTGGAAAAGATGTGTTTGTTCCTATTTGGGAGGGGGGGGGGGGGGCGGCGGCGGGGGGGGGCGCCACCTCATATGGCTTGATGGGCG